CAGCAAAAGAGGCAGCAGCAAGCGCTGAAGCAAGCTCCCAGCAGCCGCAGCAGCCGCAGCAGCAGCAGCAGCAGCAGCAGGGGAACAGCAAGAAACAGAAACAGAAGAAGACTGTTGCGTTGGGAGAAGGCGATAAGAACTCCAAGGCGAGTCCAGCCGCTGCAGCTGCTGCAGCAGCAGATGCAGCTGCTGCAGCAGAGACACCTGCTGGCGTTTCTGCTGCTGGCCCGGCTGCTGCTTCTCCAGATGCTGCTTCTTCTTCTGCTGCTGCTGCTGCAGCGGCTACCACGAGCGCTGCAGCAGCAAATCAGCGGCAACGCGTAGAGTCAAACCGGCCGCCGCCAAAGGGGAGAATCTCCAAGCAGAAGCAAAGACAGCAGCAACTGCTGCAGCAGCAGCAACAGCAGCAGCAGCAACAGCAGCAACAGCAGCAACAGCAGCAACAGCGGGAACCATCGCCTCCTGCTGGGGGGTCGCTATCTGCTGCAAAGGAACGGCCCGCTGCCAGTAGCAGCAACACCAAGAGCAACAGTAGCAGCAGCAGTAGCAGCAGTAGCAGCAGCAACAAAGCACGCAGCAGCAGCGGCGACAGGGCTTCCAGCAGAAGCGATGAAGACAACGATGCATACGCGAGCGCAGACAGCAACAGCAACGGCAGCAACAAAAACAAGAGCAGCAGCAAGACCAGCCGCAACAGCCGCAATGACAGTAGCAACAGCAGCAAATGCAAGGATAGCAGCAGCAGCAGCAGCAGCAGCAGCAAGCCGGCAGCAGGCAGTAATGTCGTAGGGTCCCAAGCATCGAAGGCAACGGATGATAAGGCAGCAGCAGCAACAGCAGCAGCAGCAAAGGTTGCTGCAGCTGCTGCAGGAGCAGCAGCAACATGTGCGGCAGCCTCAGCTCCTGCAGGAGCAGCAGCAGCAGCATCAGTCCCTGCAGCAGCAGCATCGAGTGCTGCTGGGGAGCAGAAGATGTCAGCGCGACAAAGAAAGAAGGAAAGGCAGCAGCAGGCAGCAGCTGCTCGGCTCGCCGAGGCTGCAAAGCAGCAGCAGCAGCAGCAGCAGCAGCAGCAGCAGCAACGGCATAACGCGAAGGGTAGCGCAGACAGCAAACACACAAAGAAGGAACAGAACGGTCAGCAGCAGCAGCAGCAGCAGCAGAACCAGCAGCAGCAACAGCAGCAGCCTCCTGCCCTCCATGCAAAGGACGCAGAGCCGTCATTGTCCGTAGAGGAAGAGAGCAGGGCTTCAGAGTCATCTGCTGCTGAAGCACGAGAGGCAGCAGCAGCAGCAGCAGCAGCAACAGGAGCAGCAGCAAAGGTAGACGATTCTGTTGCAGCTGCAACAGGTGAGCCAGCTGCTGAGTCTCCCCAGAAGCAGCAGCAACAGCAGCAGTCTGACGCAGCCAGCAAGAGCATACCGGCAATCCCGGAGCCTTCCGCAGCAGCAGCAGCAGCAGCAGCAGCAGCAACACCAGCAGCAGCAGCAGCAGAGGGAGAGTGTTTGACTCCAGTAGGCGAGAAGGATGCCGATGAAGAAGGTTGGGTTATCTGCCGCGCCCTTGAGCGTGCTTCTGCTGCCAGCAGACGCAGCAGCAGATCTGCTGCTCAGCAGCAGCAGCAGCAGCAGCAGCAGCAGCAGCAAGGAGAGATGGATCGGCTTAGCAGCGGCAACAGCGCGATGCTGTCAGCAGAATGGGACAATGTAGAGACACCCGGCGCTTTCACTCCTTCTGGCTGCTGCAGCCCGTTCAGCAGCAGCAGCAACCACAACAACAGCAGCAGGACAGCAGCAGACGCAGCTCTTGCTATTCTCAATCGCAAGGCTGAAGCACCAAGGGGAGAACTCGAAGAAGCTGCAGCAGCAGCAGCAGCAGCAGCAGCACAGGAGGCGGAGTCGCCTGGTAACAGCTGGGTGGGGAGACCAAACATGCAGCTGCTTGCTGATTCATTTGAGCTGCTTCTAGACGGCACTGACACGCAGCAGGAGCAGCAGCAGCAGCAGCAGCAGCAGCAACAGCAGCAGCAGAAGTTGCTGCCAGCTCCAGGTTGGCTACCTAATTCTGAAAGCAACAGCAAGAGGGACAGCAGCAACCGCTCGGACAGCAGCATGGGGGCAGGCGAAGACTTCGTCAGAAGACGGCAGCAGCAGCAGCAGCAGCAGCAGCAGCAGCAGCAGCAGGCAGCAAACACACCGCAGCAGCGGGGGGTAATCCAGCTGACGGGCGAGGCTGCATGCGGCTCTGGGGTAAAGAGGGGCGAGGGCCTGAAGCCCGTCTCCCTGACGTTCTCTGGCTGCAGCCGTATCTTCACTGTCTCTCGTAAGGCTGCAGCTGCTCTGCTGCTGCTGCTGCTGCTGTTGTTATCGTTGCTGCTGCTGCTGCTGCTGCTGTTTCTGTTTCTGCTGCTGCTGATGGTGGATCGAGTTTTGTCCCTTCGTTGCCATCCGTCTGGGTGAGGCAGCGGCTTTCTCTTGGATAGTGAAGGGGTCATGGTGCTTAC